TGTAATGTATCACAAAGAGTATTATACATGAAAGATACATTAAATCAAACGTTTATTCTATTAAAAAAAAAATAATGAAAATAAGTATTGACAAAAAAAATAATGAAAATAAAGAAAGTTAGTGCTTTCTTGATAAATTCCAGCAGAACTAAAGAGAGAAAAACAAAAGGCAAATGATAATGGTGCAAAATTCATGGCAACCAATAACACGATTTTGAACTACCTTATAACATAATTTCCCTTATTACTAAAAGGATATGGCAGTGAAAATGCATATCCTTTGTAAGAAACCAAAACTTGTCAGAAGTTACAGGGACTGATTGGTGACAAAGACAATATATGAAGGTTCTTATATAACAAAGACAATATAAACCAAACAACTCCTATTATAAAAACCATTGAATGGTAGCCTAATAAGTTCAACAATGAAACTAATGATAAAATCAGCGACTAGTAAAAGTCATATAAAATGTTTACCTTGGATGCAAATGTATTGTCCAAATAGAACTTGAAAAACTAAAAACTTCAAAAATCACAGCCCAAGAATGAAAGGTTAAACTCCAAATATAAATTAGAAAGCTCAAATCTTTAATAATAAAACTACCTATGGCAAAGGCTACGCACCATCTGAAATGTTAGCAAAATAACCCATTTTCTTTTCATCTGCACTGCACTAAATCAGAGCAACAACAAATCATTTTTTATATAGATTTTTTAGCGCAAATATTTAACTTTCAGTCGCTTAGAAAAATAACTTTTTTGATTATTTAGAAGACTCTTGATTTTGCAACTATTAATAAAGGTATTTAGAGAATTTAACTAGAAATTTAAACCACCGTAATTTTTCTTTTTTCTACATTTTTCTTCTCATTTGAAGAAAAAATAATCAAAGCTATGCTCCATTTTATTTTTCATAGTGATAACTAACAAGAGGTATTGTAATTTACTAATAAAGTTATCAACTTAATATAATTTTTTATATTTTAATTTTCAGTATTTCTTCAACAGGTACCTTTTTAATGTAAATGTTCTTATTATTTGTTTTGGCTTGGACAAGCTTTTTAAACCAAGAGCCCCTTATCCCCCGTACCTCTCTCTTTTCCTTCAAACCCCAACTCATCTCCAAAAATGACTCTAGACTCTTATGAACCCCCCAAAACTCCATACATATAATAACATGCCATTACCCACAACCATAATACCACCGTCCTTGTGCCCTGCTCCAATCTTCCCTCCAAATCACCCCCATTTCCCGCCAAGAAACCAGTTTCCTCCAAGACCCATCTTTCACAGGCCAAGAATGGCAACTCTTTCTGGGTTCATTGCTGGGTCACAACTTGTGGGTTCTTCAGGCAGTGGTGGTGGTGGTGGTGATAATGAGGCCCGCACTCTGATTGAGTATGTTGGCGGCGGAGGTGTCGATGTGGGCGATGATCTTGTGCTTTTAATCCATCACTTACAGTACGCCTGCAAGAAAATCGCAGCTCTTGTGGCCTCTCCTTTCAATTCTACCCTTGGGAAGCATACGGGTTTTGCTGCCGGCGCCGGCAGTTCGGCCGGTGGGTCAGGCCGGGATGCACCAAAACCGCTTGATATTGTTTCGGTGAGTTTAGGCTGTTTTCTTTGAAACCCAGAAGATATAATTGTCTTTTTTTATAATGTACTTTGGTATTTAGTGATTTATAATGTTTGATAGTCATAATAAGTTGGGGAAGAAACTATGTAGTTGGTTGGAATGTTTGTATTGTTCATGTTTGGGGAATTGATTGTTGTAATGCAGTTCTTGGACTGATTGCAATGTAGATATAATTTCAGTGAATGTGATTCAAATTGCTTGAGTTGAACTTAACTCCTTTTGAGTTGAAGTAGCCTAAACTAGATAATTATTGTCCTCAAACATGTATGGGAAGTGATAAGAGATAAGAGATAATTTTTCAACCCAATCGGGCTTTACTTAACTGTCCATTGAATTGAGAAAAAAAAAATGCAATTAATGTTTAACTTCTCTTGTGCTTGACCCCTTTAGAAGATAGGCCTGAAATATGCTGTGTGTGCTTCATTGAACCCAGAGCATAGAACCTTTTTTTTTATTCTCTTTGTTACAAACTGAAGATGATTCAACTGCCTATATCTGATAACCTATGGCATGGGTATTTCAATTCAAATAATGTTTTTGGAATAACACCTATGGCTTTCAAATGAACTGCTTAAGCCAGACCAAAAATAAAACATAAAAAAGAAATGCTCTAGGATCAAATCTCTTCTCCATCAAGGTTTTGCGGATTTCCCATCTTTGTTGGTGTGGGGTGTTAAGGGTTAACTAAAAGAAAAAATTCAAATAAACTGCCGGGAATATAGCACTGATCATCTCTCCCTTTGTAAGTATTCACATTGGCTTGTCATCATGAATAAAGAAATAACATTTCTGATTAACTGACCTTTCTTGTTTATTATAGAATGAAATCATCTTGTCGTCACTTAGAAGTTCTGGGAAGGTAGCTGTCATGGCATCGGAAGAAGATGACACTCCAACTTGGATACGTGATGATGGCCCATTTGTGGTGGTAACAGATCCTCTAGATGGTTCGAGAAATATTGACGCATCCATTCCCACTGGAACAATTTTTGGGATTTATAGACGCCTTGAGGAACTGGATCATCTACGAACAGAGGAGAAGGCTTTGCTGAATTCACTCCAGACTGGAACTAGGCTTGTAGCTTCTGGTTATGTTCTTTATTCATCAGCCACGATATTCTGCGCCAGCTTTGGTTCAGGAACACATGCATTTACATTGGATCATTCCACAGGAGATTTCATTCTCACACACCCAAGCTTAAAAATTCCTTCTCGAGGTAACACTGAAATAATAATATACTTCAATATAGTAGATTTGATTTGAATATTTATATAGAGTTCTGACAGAAAAAAAGAAGAAGAAGGATTTATTCAGAAAAATCACGAAATTATCTAACCTGTACAATGACTATTACACGTTAACAATAGATTGGGCGGTTGATAATTGACTGTTATTTATCAGAATAAGCATCTCCTGACAAATACTACTATAACTTGGTAATAAATAGCCAAAGAAGTCAATTTCATGAGAGGGTCTGCATGTTTGTTTAAGAAAAACGAGATATTGAGGAATGCAACATAGAACCACTTAGTTTGCACTTACGGTGGCTCTTTATTTTCCAGGGCAAATATATTCTGTAAATGATGCTCGATATTTTGACTGGCCCGACGGATTAAGACTGTACATAGACACTGTGAGACAAGGAAAAGGCAGGTATCCCAAAAAGTACTCTGCCCGTTATATCTGTTCTCTGGTAGCTGATTTTCATCGAACACTACTGTATGGTGGAGTTACAATGAATCCAAGAGACCATCTTCGTCTCGTGTACGAGGCCAACCCTCTCAGCTTTCTGGTGGAGCAAGCTGGGGGCAAAGGCTCTGATGGTAAAAATAGAATTCTTTCAATTCAGCCAGTGAAGCTGCATCAAAGGCTGCCTCTGTTTTTGGGAAGTTGTGAGGACATGGAAGAGTTAGAGAGTTATGGAGATGTGCAACAGAAAGTGAACGCTGGATATGAGGTCTGATAGTATGCTAATACCACAAGATCCGGTGGATATATGGCCATAAAAGCCAACTGTGACATTTAAAGCGCTGTGTGTTTCTTAACCACTTCAAGTCCTAATAGTTGTGTGATTCCTTGTCCTCTCGGCAACTATATATGTCATGAAGAGTCTAGGTGTGAAAAAACAGGTGACATGAATCTCTTCGATTTTTGTGTAATCTCGTTTTATCTGTTTTGGTCGTGCATCTCTTGTTGTCAAATTTGAGCAATAAATTGCAGACTTTGCCATCATGTAAAAACTGAATGAGTACTTATTTATCATCTCATAGAAGTGCTGAAGCAATGAAAATATTGGTGTACATTTTTTATTTATGGTTTGTGCTGCTTGTTTCACTATCAATGGTCAAGGAAAAATTCACCAAACAGTCATTGTAATTTTGAAAAATTCACCGAAAAAATTACGAATTCTTTGTAACATGCACTTTCATTTTATGACCTCAAATTCATATTTTGACCTGAAAAAAATTCATTTCCAAGTTCCACATTAATAGATTTTTCTTTGAAGTTCCATTATAATTGAACAAGGTCGAGATTGAAACTATGAGAATGAGGAAGACAGAGCCCCCAATTCTCAACGTTATAAAAATTGACCAATTTACCCATTCCGTCAAGTTCAACGTGTGGTATTCTGTTAAATTGATGATGTGGCAAATGTGGAACACAGTTTTATACTGATGTGCAAACAAGAAACAATAAAAATTTACTTTAAATAATATGAAAATTATATTTTTAAAACATAATAAAAAGACTTATTTACTGTAGTACCCCCTCAAACTATGGTCAAATATCCACTTTACTTTAACAAATTTTAAGTTGAGACCGTTACACCGTCATGTGGTGTTGCTAATTCATGTATTATAATACAAGTGGATAACATTGTTCTATGTATTGGACCTTAGAGTATAATATTAATATATAGATACACGCATTATAATAGTAACGCCATATGACGACGTGACCATGACACCGAAGACTTTGTAATACAAATCCAAAAGTTATCCTAAACCCTAAATCATATATGAGGAATTAAAATTCTTGGGTTTTTTTTTTATATATAAAAGACTCAAATTAAAAACCATGCAATATGACTGGGTTTTTTTCCTTGCTATGTCTTTGTAAATAGGTATTAGAAAAGGCCAACTGGAACTAAAAGTGGAAGAAGGAATGTGCCAAGTGATAGGTCGAAAATGGTTGGAAGCCTAGGATCGCCAGACCTCATCAACGACTACAGAGCATGCTCAGTTTCAGAGAAACCTAATGGAAATGTATAAGTATGTAGTGGATATGCATTTTCTATGACTCATTCAAATCCCAAATGGATTAGTTATGGTGTCACGTGCTGTTAGTTGTTTCCAACAAGAATAATAATAATGACTCATTCAAATCCCAAATACATCATCGAAGTCATTAGGTATTACAGTCCAGAGTCCACACCATGACCATGGGGGCATAAAGTACATAATAAAGTTGTTAATTAGCGGTCTAATTTATTACTATTACAGTCCGCATAAAAACTTAACAACATAACTTAAGGAGAGACCATGAGGAAGCCGTCCAACATGGTCTATAGAAGCAGCACATCCATAGCCTACATATATAAAGAAGACAAAAGAGAATATGATACATAAGTTACATAATTGATTATTAAATGAATTGAAAGCTAGCCAAGAGTTTATTATAAAAATATGACCTTATTTCGTCTTGGTTGAGCCAGTTGCTTCACCTTTTTTCTGTTTGTTCTCCTCCTTTCTTTTCTTTTTCTCTTCTTCCCTTTTTCTTTCATTCTCTTGGGCCTTCTTGGAAGACTCGTAGTCTGGAGCCGGGCAGTTGGTGTGGGGAGGAACTGAAAGCAGGAGCACACACTTTAGAAAATAAAAAAGGAAAAAAATAGAATACTTTTCCACTAGAAATAGCTAGCTTTGTACAAATTTCTTTCCAAATTCACGATTACATACATTGTTCCATGTTGAGATTAAGAGATTAAGAGAGAATAGAATAGAGAAACAGGATGCTATATGAAGTGTGAAGTGGTGAAGAAATATGAATGCCTCTTCTCTTTATATGGAGGAAAAATGAAGAGAATGTGATGGATTGTCATAGCAAATAAGAGAGGAAACTTTTTTTTCAGGAATGGGAAGAAACAACTATGAATCACATGGCATACAAAGGACAATTGTGAATGACAAGTGTGATGGTGGAAGAGATAAGAGGAGATGTACCCAAACTTACCAAAATTGAATTCATCCAAGCTTCCTCCTCCATTTCTCTACGTCATAATTGCAAGTTTTTGAAAGATCATGAATGACCATTCAGCTAAAGTTAGAAGAAGAAGATGTGGCCCAAAACAAGTGAGGACGTCCTTAATATATTTTTGGCTTTTTATCACAAATGGTCTCTACTCTCTAACGTTTGCGAAATTATCACCTTTTGTCCCTAACCTTTTTTTCTGACACTAATGGTCATTAAGGTTACCCTCTACACATCAAAATGGTCCCTACCGTTAACTTCCGTCAAATTTTCTGTTAAGTGGCTTTAAATAAAATAAAATATATTTTAAATATTTTAAAACTTAAATCCATAAACTCTTCCTCCTCTTTCTCTCTCTCCCTCTCCCTATCCCATATGATTCTGTGCAGGCGCGGAGCCACTCTTCAGCTCCAAGTACACTACTAGAAAAACGCTTTGGAGACTAAAATAAAAACAGTCTCAATAGATTGCTATTAGGGACTGATAATAGAAATAGTCTCTATAAAATGATAAAAGGGACTGATTCAATAATTTTCCATGACTAATAAATTTAAAAACTCAGAAATCCGTGCCTTCAGTATTAAAGAAATTATATATAATACTTTCATGTCAGATATATATTAGAAAATAAGGCGACAAATTAATCAGTGCCTAAGTTGTCCACCATTTCCAGTAGCGGGCACGAATCAACACAAAAACTTAATTAAAATTTTAAAAATATATAAATAAAAGACTCAGTGAAATTATACGTATACCAAAATGACTTTCCTCCTTTTTCTCATCCCAAGAGTCCTACCTCTCGCTGCTTACTCTCTCTCTCTCTCTCTCTCTCTCTCTCTTATATTTTCTTAACAACTTTCTTGAAACTTCTCTTTTTCTCTCCTTCAAATCTATACGCACCCCTTTTGTCTATTATTTTTTTCTTCTAATTCTCATCTTTTTCTTGGTATTGTGTTGTGTCTGGACTTCTTGGTCTAGTTTTAAATTTAATTCTTGGTATTGTGTTTGTAAATCTAACCCATTGTCCGGTTTGGGCTAGATCTGTGTTATGTCTCTTACAAATCTTTCATTTGAATGAGTTTTGCTTAGCGAATCATGGTTTTTGTTTGACTGGTTGTAGAAATAAAACGTATGGGACAAGTTCTTGCTGTTGTTGATGGCATATTGAATCTTTGTGAAAGGTAATTTAATGAAATTTCTCTTGTTCATCAATGAATTCACTCTTGGGGAGGAGGTTCTCTAAGCTTGACAGAGTACAAGGTTTACAAGAGTGACAGTTTGCAAACCGAACGGGAAAGAGAAAACCGATGAATGGTTTAAAGAACCGATGTTTCAACATATTGAAACAACTTTGACCCAAGAAAAAACATATTAAAACAACAAAATCGCTATGGGACAATCAGATATTTTTATAAATAAAAAAAGGTTTATGTTTTTAGGGACTGATAAGCATTCTGTACCTTTTAATTCTATTAGGCACGGATGTATTTAGAATGCATGTACGCGTATTGGTTGGACAGAATATGGGACCCATTGGGAAAATAAGTCACGGAGATTTGCAATCCGTGTCATATTAGCAATAGAGGACCCCTGTAAAAGACACTGTTATAAATCAGTGCGTATTACTACATTAGGCACTGTTTTCAGTCCCTAAAGAATGTAAAAGGGACTTATTACACTCAGTCTCTTTTAGTCCTTTTTTAGTAGTGGTAACTCCAACATTTCATAAAAACTTTACACTAAACTTATGTAATTGCTGGAAAAATATGAAAAAATCTAAATTATTGGCCCCACAAAAAATGATCTGGAATCAGGTCTAGAACATGTAAATGAAATTACCCATAATCCACGACCTTATATAAACCAGTTCTTTCACTTAGCCAAAGAGATGCATTTTTGGTTTAATTATACTATTGGATGTATGGGCTCCACACACACGCCACGTCAGCAACTTAACAGAAAATTTGACGGAAGCTAACGGTAGAGACCATTTTGATGTGTAGAGGATAACCTTAAGAACCATTAGTGTCACAAAAAAAAAGTTAGGGACGAAATGTAATAATTTCGCAAACGTCAGGGACCATTTGTGATAAAAAAAATATTTTATTTTAGGGCATTACATGTTACCACAAGAGAAATACTATTCACAATCACTTTATTGTGGCCATACTCTTGCTAGAAACCTGTCATAGCACATGTGCTCCCAAGTATCTTTTGTACAATGCTTTGCCATTCACAAGCGACTGTGACAAGAGTCCCCACTGTCTCCAATTATAATGTTACAACCAAGGTCTAAAATATCGGTGATATCGGAAATATAGGTAGGCTAAAAATATGGAAATTTCGATGGAAATATCGGGATATTATCGATATCGATAAAAATTGAATAAAAACCACGGAAATTGTAAGAAAAACTTGGAAATTTTTATTGAAACTTTGCAGGATGTTTATTTAGTCAATTATCTATTAGTTTATCATAAAAATTGGAAGGAAATGCATTGGATGATGGATTTAACTGATTTAAGTTAATTATATAGCGAGCTGGTAGACACTGTGAGTGTAAAAAATATGTAGTAATTAATGAAAAAAGATTAAACACACCATAATCAAAAGTAGAAACTTGAAAAGGAATGGTCAAAAGAATTCAAAACAATTTGTTTCTTGCAAAAAAAAATCAAAACAAAACCATGTATATATATAAATATTTTAGCATATTTTCACAAAAACATAAGTAATATGGTGGTTAAGGTGTTGAATGAGTAAGATGGGAGCGGTTTGAATCCCCAGGTCATCTTCTTCCTCAATCAGCTGCTTGCAGAATAGCCGCCCTTCGTCCGCCTCACCACACGTTGCCACGCCTCGCGGTGCTAAACGTGCAACCTGCTAAATAGATGAACGCTTCAGAAGGTAAGATTAATTCTAGAATATGTACTCAGATTTTATCGATAATTTTGATAATATCGAGATATTATCACCATTTCAGCTTGAATTTGCACGAAAATATCGATCCCGATATTGTCGGCGATATTGTCGGCGATATTGTCGACATTATGACGAAATCTAATTGGTCTGTGCTGAAAATATTGCAAGTCAAAAAATTCGATATTATCGCCGATATTTCGGCGATAATATCGACTTTTCAACCATGGTCTAGAGTCATTTTTGGAGATGAGTTGGGGTTTGAAGGAAAAGAGAGAGGTACGGGGGATAAGGGGCTCTTGGTTTAAAAAGCTTGTCCAAGCCAAAACAAATAATAAGAACATTTACATTAAAAAGGTAGCTGTTGAAGAAATACTGAAAATTAAAATATAAAAAAATTATATTAAGTTGATAACTTTATTAGTAAATTACAATACCTCTTGTTAGTTATCACTATGAAAAATAAAATGGAGCATAGCCTTGATTATTTTTTCTTCAAATGAGAAGAAGAAATGTAGAAAAAAAGAAAAATTATGGTGGTTTAAATTTCTAGTTAAATTCTCTAAATACCTTTATTAATAGTTGCAAAATCAAGAGTCTTCTAAATAATCAAAAAGTTATTTTTCTAAGCGATTGAAAGTTAAATATTTGCGCTAAAAAATCTATAAAAAAAAAAAAAAAAAAACCTTTATGTTTGTTGGTAGCGGGGGACACGGTCCAATTTTGATTTTCATTGACATGCTCAAAACATTTAACCAAACCAAATCGGTTTAAGATCGATTTGGTTCGGGTCGGTTTTGATTCTACTAGATCTTGACATCTACATGAAGCTCTTCAATACCTGGTCATATATTTATAAGATCTGATCTGACCTCAAGTGTGGTAGGAGTGAGAGTGCGACGATGCAAGTGCAATAATGCGCGAGATGGAGAAGAATAGGTGGTCCACTTGCTAGAGGGTAGTCAATGTCGGGTGCTAGAGGGTAATAGGTGGGGTCCACATGCTCAAGTTGGCGAATCTCATATCATAATTTCAATTATTTTACTTAAGTTCAATTTTTTTTTTGGTCAGAACTTAAGTTCAATTATAATGAAACTTTGTGAATGAAATTGAGGTTATAGAATGAAAAGTGCATGCTATGAAGAAAATGTAGCATTTTTTGGTGAATTTTTTTGGAGTTGAGACAAATGTTTTTGTGAATTTTAAATCTAGAGGTCTCGAGGCCAAACACAAGAGTCAAGCAGCCCCATTTTTTGGAATTGGATTACGATGCATGTGTGATGTAGAATTGATGAATTAGAAAGGAGGGCCTAAAAACGAAAACTGAAAAATGTCTACATTTTAAAGTTGTTTTCAAATATCACCCTTATTTTGAAAGCTGATTTCATATTTTCAAAAAAAAAAATTCGAAAATTATTACGAGATATGTTTTTAGTTTTCAAAAAAAGTAAAAACAAAAATTAAAAACTAAAATCTGAAAATAAAATGGTTATCAAACAAGCTTATTTTGTTGGGATTGAAAGGGATAAGTTTCCTTTATGGCTAATCCGTCCTTTATCTTCAACTTGGACAAAATTTAGAAGTTGGTCCCCATTTCTTCCTTCAATTATCCTATCTAATTCAATCCTTTGAATCAAAAGTGGCCTTAATCAATATCAGTGTTGGAGTGATGGTCAAGCAACAACATATCACTTCTTCAACTGCATCTAAAGCGTGGTTCTATCAAGGCATCCATCTATGGTAAGGTGTTACCTGAATGGAGCTAAAACACTGGTTTCTACAGAAAGCATAAGGATTTAGGGTCTTGATGAGAACATCTTGCAAATCACCAGGCAAACTGCAAAGTCAGTAACAGGCTTCTAGTCTACAACTTCCTTTGCTCAAACCTTTACCCAAAACCTTGAAAAAAGAGTAAAAAA